TTTTAGTCTTGATTTGAAGAGTGTCTCATTTTTATCATTTTTTTAATTTAGGGAATCTTCAGCCAATCACATGACCCCAGCAAATTGAATGTCATATGTACACTTGGTAGGTTTAAAATGATTTATTTGCCAACAACTCAGACGCATGAGCAACTGAAGAGTTTCAGGATGTTTTAAGAGAGTTTTAGGAAACCTGGATCGTGCAGCAGCCCTGTTAGCCTCAGACAACGTGTGAAAGAGCAGTCACCTCACATCAGCGCTAGCTTTGCCCCACAGAGACGAAAATAATCAGATTATTCTCCAGAGCAGCTTGTTTGGTTCATGCCGGGAGGCCTCCACTGTGTGTTGCTCTGTTCGTTTACTGTCCCCTCGCTGATGTTTAACCAATGAGAACAGCATGACTGCTTAATGCCCCGAAGCCGGGAGGCATGACTCATATTAGCTAGAGTGCATCCTCCTCTGAATGATTCATCAAACAGATTCAGGACCCAGAGTGCAGCCATGGAGGCAATGAGGCAGCTAAACGCAAGCTGATGTGAAGGAAGAGGAGGGAGGCAGTGGAGTGCGCTTAAAAACATTCTTCTACCAGCTGAAACATGAACATGTCAGTTATGGAGGAGCTACTGTCCATATTAAAGCAATATAAACCTGTGCTACATCAATCAACACCACCAATGGATGACATAACATGAATGTTTCTACTGCAGAAAAAAGCAGTATAACAGATAGACGCATGTGAGCATGACTCAGTTGCCTGGCTATAAAGCTGCTGAAGCTCATATGGTTTCAGTTTTTGACTTGTTGAGTGAATGGCTATGCTAGCTGCCCAGTATGGCTGTACTTAGGCACACACATTTCATTCATTTTTGTGAAGAAAACTAAATTAAATAGTTATTTTTAAAGTTCAGGTTATTATTTAAGATCTCAACCGAAAACCAACATTCACAGAGCCTTCAGTCTCTGATCAACAGCCTCGTCCTGCATTCGATTACAACCAAAGAGCTGAAAGAACAGTGGCCAGACATCAGGGAGAAGAAAACACTGAATCTGCAAGACGCTCTGAACTAAATCTAAAGTTTTAGATTTAGTGATCAGTGTATTGATTTGGTGATTCTCTGTGTCTAAGTTGTGAGGATGTCAGATCACTGTAACATTAAAGGACCATGGTACTGAGGAAGGCCTCAGGTATTTGACATGTAATTAACATCTGAATGGATGACAACAGTTTGGAGAAAATTACTCTGTTGCAGGTGTAAGGCCATTTTTGGATATTGTGCAAATATTGGGGTCAACTCCTTTGGTTCCTGCAACTTAAACCCAAACTAAAAACTTAGATGTCCTTTTGTTAAGAACATTTTAAGAATAAATTTGATTTACAAACGTTCAAAACCAATACCTAACCATTTCTGCACTACGTAAAGATCCAAACGGTCAAATTCTTGGACGTGGTTTTGTTTTGGAATTGTTTCAAAAACAGCAGAGCATCAGCCATTTTATATACTTTGCAACTGAATATTTAGTACAGCGGTTTGAATGTGAGACATGAAACTTATAATTATTTACAGAAATTAAACAGAAAAGGTTGACTTTATTCTAATGTTTTTATTTAACTCTATGTTTATTGTCATGTTTTGGTGGTGGGAGGAAACCGTAGCACACGGAGAAAACCCACGCGAACACGAGGAGAACATGCAAACTCCACACAGAAAAGTCCGACTGGGAATCAAACCCAGGACCTTCTTGCTGTGAGGTAACAGTGCTAGGCACTGAGCCACCGTGCTGCCCAAAGCCACTATTGGGCTGCAAATGTATGAATCCTACTATGGCGAAGGCATGACCCACCTTACTCTCTGACTTGAACTGGTTTGCTGGTTTGGGTAAGGATATCAGGATAAGCCAGTCAGAGGAAGAGTCTGGTAGGTCACGCCTTCGCCATAGTAGGATTCGTAAATGTATGACGGGCCCAAGCTCTCTATGAAGCTGACGAGCAAAACCTCTGAGGAGGATGGTGTTCATTAGGAACCACAGTCCTCCTACCCTTCTGCAGCTGCTTTAGAGCAGCATGCAAACATCTTGACAAACCAGTTCCTCTTCCTTGGCTTCCTGTCGGTCACTTCTCTCAACCTGCTCTCCAGCTCCTCTAACCTCTCTGCCCACTCTTGCTCCTTCTCTTGCAGGACTTCTGTTGACTCTTGACATTGGACGTTTAGCTGCTCCTTGGCCGACTGCACAGTAGTAGCAAGATTGTCATTCTCCACTTTCTGACTCTTTATTAGAATCTCTTGTGCTTCCCAAGCCTGATCGATTGCGTCCCCCAAGATTTCCTGAAACTGACTGAGTTTCATGAAAATCACTTTCTCCTCTTTGTTGATCTGAGGAACCTCACTGTCCTCCTTGTCTGCGAGTGCTTCCTGCTCTGGAGCTTCTTTCTGAAGCTGTGAAAACGGTGTGTCATTACCCAGACTCACTGCAGTCTCTGAAGCAGGTGCAGACAGTTCACTCTCTGTGTTGCAGAGCATACATTTGTGGAACTTCTCCATGACTTGGAGTGCCTCCTGCATCTTGACACAGAGATCTTTACCTGTTCTTACAGTCTGAATCCTCTCGTCTGTCTTTGGCTCTGCAGCCTGCTGCTCGATGGACAGAATGCTGGAAGCGTGATTCTCCAGCTCCTTTGTGGATTTCTTCAGCTGCAGCAGAAGCTCTGACAGATCAGCAGGAGCCTCTGTGTTCCTCTGACTAGGAGACTGTTGCAGCTGTTTTTGGGCCTCCTGCAGCTTGGAACGAAGATCCTCACTAATGGCAGATTCTGCACACAATCTGGAGGCAGAGCTCAACTGGTCCTCCTTCATCTGACAGCGGAGGTCCTGAATAATCTTATCTGTTTTCACAGTCAACTGGTTCAGCTTCTGTTGACCTTGATCGAGCTGGAGTTTAAATTGTTTAGTTATTTTTACTTGGACTTTAAGCTTGGCAGCATACTCCTGGTTTTGGACTTCGGCGTCATTCAGCATCACTTTGAGAGCTGCAACTTCTTCGCTCAACTCTGCCATACCAGGAGTGTCCATTGTTCTTTTACCGTGGAGCAGATCAAGGACGGCACTCTGCGTCTTATATTTTAACTTCAGGTTGGGCCTTTGATGCCTGTTACAAGAAAACAGCTTCATCTTGGTGGACAGTAGTTCTTTACTCACCTCCATCTCCCAGTCTTTAACATATAACCTTACCTGGCGGTCAAGAGCTGTTTCTGTTGCCATTTTTCTTTTTCTCTTTCTAGTCTGATTATGTGTGTTTCTTCAGTGAACAATATTTATCTGTTTAGTCGCCTGTCCTGATAGATACTGAATTAAACCCTCTTTGGTGTGTCTGACATCATCAAAGGCACCTTTTTCATTCCTTTGATGACGTCAGACGGAATGTTGTCGCGTTCCAAAATGACATCATTCAATAAAAAAGTACACCTAAAAAAACAATTGGATACCATGGTAACAGCAGATGCAGTTAAAAAAAAGCCTTAACTGATGTTTTTATTTAAATAACTTTATCAAAACCTGTATCATATACAATACATATAAGACACACAAAATATAACATTAGCAACACAAGGCCCAACAGTACAGGCATAAACGGAGGAAAATAAAACAAGGCTCTTCTTTTAAAAGTCTATAATAGTCGATCAATATTAACAGTGAATGGCATTAAGAATGAGACATGAATTAAATTCAGTGCAGACTCTGGTAATGGTATAAAAGGCTATATAATGTGTGTTTAAATCTGCATTAGATGAAAAGGGTATAGCAAACTAAAGAGACAAAACTATGCTATACTTTTTATTTATGCTCGTTGAACAGCTTATGCTGCTGGAATTGTACTTCTATTGCACAGTGCCTTTTTTTTTAACCGAGAAGTTAAGGTAATGTTACAAATACTCCGCTCATCTATTAACCAACTAATTGTTTCAGCTGTATATTTTATTTCATATTCACTGACACATAGTCAACCAAAGCGTAATATAGTGAGTCATTTATGAATTAAAGCGATGACATCAACCCTACCACTTCTTTTAGCTATCCTGTTAAAAAATACACATTATTTTTTACGACTGTAATAAATATAGTAGAACTTTTTATACTTGTACGGTTAGGATATTAGTACTGTTGATTTTAAGTTGA